GCGGTAATGTTGGCGTGTAGACATAAATAGATGCAGTGTATATACTAGTACTTTACTTTTTATGCCCGCTCAATTAACCCTTTCAGCGACTTTAAACTGAAACGGGTTTCGTTGTTTTGGTCTTCGTTTTAAGCCATATTTACGAGAATTATCTAGTCTTTTCCCCACTATGACCGTTTAATTACCTACCGTTATTGCTTGAGTAGCAGCAACTGTCTAGAGTAACGATAAAATGTATTAGAAATTCGTATTCACCAAAACATGCAAGTTCGATTACCAGCGAGCCTTTTCTTGTAATCTTGGACCAGTTAGTAGCGCTAGTAGCGCCAGCTATCGTCCATACTTACACGTCTCTAGCACAATCTCGGTTGCACCGGCAAATTGCACATTGACACATTTAACAAATCTCGCGACTCGTTGTTATTTTCGTTGTATTACGATGTGTTCATATCCAATTTTCATTTTTTTTAAATCCGATATCTAATCTATGTTATAACTGCCTAAAATCTTTCAAGTTAGTGTAATCGGTGATATATCCGCTGTGAGGTGAGACTATATTTTGCTATATTTTTTTGGATTGAGCGTTCCTGAGCAAAAATCTCGTAATAAAAACGAAGTCTTCGTCTTCGTCGTTAGTGGTGCAACTAACTGCGCTGAGACGTGCAGCTGTTTACGTGTAATAGCGTACTGGCCTGGCTGTAAGCAGCAATATCTCGCATAGACGAATAATTGAAGAGTTGCGCTAAAATATCTCCGAGAAGAATTTTCTTCTCTGAAAATTCGGATATGTTAGGTCTATTTTAACAGCAATACTATTAGATGGTTTATAACAACAGGTATCTGTATCCGGCCATACTAGCTCGCATGATCAGTTAAACCACATAGATATCTCTTTATCTGCACGCCCCTATCTATTAACCGCCCGTTACTTGTGATGCCGCACTATATCGATACATGTACACCGCACTTGCTCATGCGCAATATCCGCAAACTCCTGGTGTGCATGCGCTGCATCCATGGTTCACCTACGCGCATGCGCCGCATCCATGGTTCACCTGTGTGCATATGCGCTGCATCTATTGTTCACCTGTGCGCATGCGCTGTATCCATGGGTCACCAGTGCGCATGTGTCTTATTTTCTCTGTTTTTTCGTCTGTCGCGCGTTGACGGCTGCGTTGGCGTTACGCGCGCGTGATGCAAGATTCAAACTGCAGACGGCGATGCGCGCGCGCGTACGAACGTACTCTGCGTAAACGTTACACCTACAATTAGATAGGAGAGATGGATACACTATCTTTTCCTAATTATGGCAATAAATCCATGCTTGTAAATGACCTTGAAAACCATTTTGTGCAGAAGAATACTTGCATCCGCTCTGAACTAGACAATGCTCTGACCGAAATTGGATGTTACAGGCTTTCCAGCGGCCCTAAAATTTCTAAAATTTTGAGCTCGTCCTAAAATTCCTAAAAAAACTTTTAAAATGTATGAAATTCCTAAAAAAGGGCTCAAAATTTTATTCAAATTCCTAAAAAAAAATTACACAGATATGTTTGGAGTTTTTGGTGATGAGGTGATGAACTTTTGGTTTGTAATTATGTCTCTAGTTATCTTTATACAGAGTGAGTATTGTGACTCAGTCTACCAGTGATTCCTAAGCTTCAGTGTCTGATTTTACGACCTTGTTTCTGGCTGGATGTACAAGACATGCCTAATTTGCATGAAACTTGATGATGTACAGTCGTATCGAGGACTTGGAGGATAGGAATAGCTGGTAGACTGGACACATACCACATAGAACTGTATCTGTAAGTTAACACGTAGATGTTTATGAAAGGTAGGTGACTTATTTTGTCCCTAAAATGTTTTGATTCATCCCTAAAAATTTCCAAAATAGCTTTAAAAATACCTGAATTTCTCCCTAAAATTAGCCCTAAAATGTTGTCAAGGACTGCTGGACAGCCTGGATGTAATACTGAAACGCCAACACATACACCAATACTTGACACTTTTCAGCGCTTATCTGAAGATGATGTGCGGAAACTTATTATGAATTCAACAAAGAAATCCTATTGCCGTGACCTACGCCAGCGCCTCTCTTGTTCGAATGCCTAGATGTTCTACTTTCAGTGATTACAAAGATTATTAAAACTTCTCTAGATTCTGGATATTTTCCTAACGGCTGGAAAAAAGCCGTTGTCTTCTCTCTACTTAAGAAAGCTGGGCTTGAGTCGGAATTTAAGAACCTACGCCCCATGAGTAAATTAAACTCACAGAATGTGTGGTTTTTAATCAGACGCATGAACATATGCTCAGGTCAGCGCTCTGCCCTCTCTTGCAATCTGCCTATCGACAACATCATAGTACGGATCGAGATTGATTTGGTGAAAATTACCAATGATATCCTACTGATACCCCCTTCACATACACGGATTTTTCTTCCGAGTCCTTACGGATCGCACAATTCGTAAAAGTACACGGATCCTTACGATTTGGCCACTTTTACGAGCGATTTACGTGTTATTACGAGCTAATTACGGTTTATTACGGATTATTATGAGTTATTACGATGTATTTACGGCAAAATTCCACGATTTGTT